TTCATGAAATGGACATTTGGGTTCTATCTTAAGCTTGCTGTGCCCTTTCTGAGGGCCAATCAGAGTGTAGGAGAAGAATGTGTGGCTGCCCTTTCTCTGAAGGAAAATGTGTTTTTTATTTAAAATTTTTTTTTTCTTTATTGATTTCTAGAGAGAGAAGGGAGAGGGAGAGATAGAAACCTCGATGAGAAAGAACATTGACTGGCTACATCCTGCATGATCCCCCACTGGAGATCGAGCCCACAACCTGGGCATGTGTCCTGACCAGGAATCAACCAGCGATCTCTTGGTGCATGGGTCAATGCTCAACCACTGAGCCACACCGGCCAGGGGAAAATGTGTTTTTTAAACAAAATATTTCTAAATCCATTGTTTTCAAAATTTTTAATTCATTTCAAATTTTAGGTATATATTAAAGCTTCCCCATTGTTGATGATAAATCTGGATTTAGAATCTTTTAAAATAAAATAAAATAAAATAAAATTATGCTACATTTGAGTTCTCATTTCAGTACATGGTTTTGTCTTGGTGTATGAGATACTATAAATGTTCTTTGAGAGTATAAATAAGTGAGATTGGTGAGGTAAAATAAATGAGTTAATTATTCTTTAGTATGAGAGTTTTATAATTTATTTACTCGTTCCTTTTTTTTTTCCCAATGAGAGAAAGAAATCTGGTGAAAATATATGAACTAAATTCAGAATCAGAAGCAATTACTCTAGCTGTTTAAGTAATGGTTACAGTGTATACCAGATAGATGGCCTTGAGAGGGCTTGCTGGGGGTCAATATGTGCTTGGCTGCTGCGTCGCTGACTGGGGGACCTGCTGGGGGAAGCCACGTGGCACCTGCTGTCCTCTTCGCTTCTGCTGTGTAGGCTAAAGGGACAAGACTTACTTTACAACGTGCAGCGCACCAGAGCAGTACATCTCAAAACTCTGATTCCTCGGTCCAGGCTGATTTCGTATTTTAAGGTCTCCAGTTGATTTTTATGCACACTCGCTATTGAGAACCACTGCGACGAGGATGTGCGACGTTAAGTTTCTCTGGCAGGATGCAGCGCGCTTAGTGTAAATGAAGTGTCATCGAGCAATGTCAGGGCGGTGAGCATCAGAATCCACCTGTTGAAAGGTGAAAACACGGTCTCCTCAGCCCCTCCCAGAAATAGTCTGTGGATGTGGCTCTGGGGAAGGTCATCTCTCATTTTACCATGCATTGTGGCTAGATGTGAGGCAGAGGATCGCTTTGAGAGACACAGAATTGCCTAGGTCAGAGGGAAAAGCGTTGTGTTGATTTGGAAAAGCTAAAAGCACAGGTAACAATACAGTCGCGTAAGGGTGGGGTCTTGAAGGAGGGGGACAACCGGAGCCTCCGAGAATCTGAGGCAAGGGGACACAGCTGAACGTGGAGACCGTGGATGGTAACGGCTGTAGGTTGCCAATGTGCACACTAGTAGCCAATGCCTGATCACATAGAATGCGTTTTGCAGTCTGAATTCTCTTATGAAGTAGAGACCAAAAACAGTTATTTGGTAAACGTATTACATAGTTCCCCCAAAGGCAGCTTTGTTAGAGAACAAAATGTACAATAAGACTTGTTTCTAAGGCAAGTTATTGATTCTAAGCTAGGTTTGAACTAGAGACAGCAAGTCGGAGGGGTTTGGGAATCATGTCCGAGATGCGAAGGGGCTGCTGCAGGGCCAACAGGTGCGCTAAGGCGGTGTGACCCTCTCCATCCCTGGGAAGATGTCACTCTTTTGGTAAATTATGCTTTATATGAATGATATTTGCTACCTCTGGTCTATCCAAATTATTGTAGCATAAACATAATATTTTAAACTACTTACATTGCTATTGTCAAAATAATGACCATATCTCTCCTTCGGCTTTCCAAGTCATCTAGTTTGAGAAACAATTTCTCATTCGGCGACAGTTTGTGCCAGGCATCATAGTAGATGTTTGGGATGCATATCCTAAGGAAGTATTTCTGTCCTTTTGGTGTAATAACCTAGTTAAAGGAGCTAGCCCTAAACTTAGCCCCGCCCCCAAACCCTCTTCTGAAAAAACAAGAGCAAAATGAGTTCAAGGAACTGATTGCACATTAAAATGACATGACGAGCAATAAGATCAACCCAAAACATACAAATGCAGGGTCCAAACCAGAATCTCGGAGCGTAGAACTCAGCTACTTGCATGTTCTGGAAGCTCCCTGGGCAATTCGAAGCACAGAGCATGGCAAACTCGTGCAGCAGGGCTGAGAACACAAGCAAGTGGATCACTAGCCCTGTGCTCTAGGAGTGGGGTGGGGAGGGTCAGCTCTTTAAAATAAGTGAGTTTGGAGCTGATTCTTCAAATGCCGATTACTGTTTCCCAGGTAGATTGCAGAGTCAGGAATCTTAGCTTGCTACTCCTAGAGCAATATTTAAGCCATCACATGAAGGATGCATGGGTGGGTCTGGGGCAGGGGGCTGGCGAGCTTTTCTAGAAAGTGGGAGTAACATGTGCAAAGTCTGGCTTGAAAGAAGGAATGTAGTCCATTAGAGGAAATGAAAGAAGGCCTATGTGTCTGGAGCACAGAGATCAAGGGGAACCTGGGGGAACAGATGATGTTACCCAGATAGACAGGAACTGAGCACAAAGGGCCCTGACAGCCAGGGGATGCATCCAACCAGCACTCAAGAGCAGCCATTGCATGTTAGGTTGGGGTTTTGTTTCCATAAGGTTACATTGGCTGCTGTATGAATATTAGAGATTGAAGGTGGGGAGAGTGGAAGCTGTTCAGAGGCTACTGCAGGATTCCAGGGACGAAAAGGGGGCAGCGTGCACTAGGGAAACCGGTGGGAATGGAGAGCATTGGGTGAATGTGAAAGCTTTTGAAGAATTAAATGTGCGTGACACACACACACATTATGTGCTGTTTTATTTGGAATTTTATTAGAAATGTTCAACTGGGAAAACTGTTAAATGGAAAAGCAGAAGAGTACTGTAAATAAGATCAGATAAATGAAAATTGTCAAATGGATTTTTAATAGTCGACAGTTAATGTAGTCAGCAAAGGAGAAGTAGGATTCTTGTAGGTGAGGGAACTGTGGCCAGCTCATGATGTCCATAGTTGGACTGGACTTGTCTGTTGAGGAACTAGACTGCAAGACGTGTAGTTTTTACAAAACATGACGTGGTGCACTTCACCTAGTTTATCTTATTTAATCATTATATCACCCCTTTGTGAATAGAATGGTTTTACAGATGAAGAAACCATACTCAAGAAGATTTTATTGTTTCTCCAAGGACACGTCATGCCTAGTTATGTTTTATGCTGCTGAATTAGATTCAGATATGTACAATAATAGCAATCATATCTCAAGATACAGGTTTGTCTTTTCTATTCAAATACTACAGAACTACATTCACCTGCAACATAAATGAAAGATAAAGGCTCTAGGAGTGTCATGACTTAGAGATGCATTGACATTAGTCAGTGAAGAGAAGGGACAAGTAAGACGTGCACATTTGTAACAAGTCAAAGTTGAGGAAGGGAGATTTTCTGGGAAACGCTAAGAGGACTTTAAGAGAACAGGAAAGAAAATGTTCTGAAACATCTTTGAAGGAAATGAGTAACTGGGGAGAAAATTCAATCATAGGAAGATGAGAGAATCATTTCAAGTTGGGACTTAAAAGGCAATAAATGCACAGTCCAGACCCAAAAGACTTGTTTGAGTTTAAACCAGTGCTTTGTGGAGGGAGCGGTTATCAGGTTTTCATGCAAAGATCTAATTTGAAGGTCTTGTGTTGGGGTGAAGGTGGTCAAGACCTCTCTGGTCTGATCTGAGGAAAAGGTGAGCTCCTCTCTTAACCCCCCTGCCCCCCAAAAGCAGAGACTTCTATGAGAAAAAAAAAGACTTTCTTATAATTCTTGAGGCTGTAACTTATTTGCTGTAGTAACTAGAAGTGATGATTAGTGGGGAGGAAAAGGAGGAGAGAATTGTTCAGTCTCTAATCCACCAGCTGGGAGTGGAAATAAATCACACAGATAAATTTAAACCAGACTAAAGAACTCGAGTCAGAAACTGTGAACCAGCCATAGCAAAGATGTAGGGGGTGACGGTGGTTGTATATATTGTCTTGCGGACTGTTAGAGTTTTACTATGGAGGGAGATCATTCATATATTTCAGTGCATGTTATTTTGCAGATAAGTGATGCCAAGATAAAGGGAATTGACTTGGTAAAAGTTCAAACATTTAAAGAAAACAGCCATTCCCCTGCTCAAAAACCTCTGCTGGTTACAAATAGCTTATAATTAAAGCATGGCCTTAGATCCTGCTCTTTTATGATCTGGTCTCAAACTCTATTTGTAATCTCACGTGCACTTCTACCTTCTGTTCTCTGGCTGAACAGAGACAGATCGCTCTGGACACATCATGGCTTAGTGGTTGACAGTGTCCACTCCGGGACTAGGATTCTGGAGGATGAAAAGTCAGGGAGGTGAGTCATGGGCAAGGATATTCCAGGAAAAGGGAAGGACCTGTATGGAAGGCACGGGCAGGGCATGCGTAGGCGTGGTGCCATGTTCAGCGTAGCTGGAGTGTGGCATGAAAATGAGGACACTTTGGGGGACAAGGTAGGTTGACTCCTTAGGGTGAGAGTTTGTGAACTAAGTTAAGCAGTTCAGATTTTTCCGCTTGAGGCAGCTGTAGGGGATTTTACACAGGGAATGACATATTCAGATTGGTTTGTTTGAGATGTAATTCTGGCTGCATTTCTACTACTATCCTTCTATGTATGAATTATGTTTCTGCTAATGTTTAGTTTGGGAATTTAGAGCCCGATCTCTCTATTATATCAATTGTTTTTTAGCTATTTGTGAATGAATGTATGTTATCAAAGTATGGCATTGAGGAATCAGATACGTTAATGGGTTTGTATGTGTGTTATATAAAGTACACAAACTATTCCATCAAAAATCAGATTTTGAATGACCTCATTTTTAATTTATTCTTTTAAGGTCTGACAGCAGCGGCCGCAGCAGCTGCTGCTGCCACCAATGCAGCTATCGCCGAAGCAATGAAGGTGAAAAAAATCAAATTAGAAGCTATGAGCAACTATCATGCCAGTAATAACCAACACGGAGCAGATTCTGAAAACGGGGACATGAATTCAGGTGTCGGTAAGTTTTACATTCACTGAAACTTATTATGATCACTTTGCTACCAGATTACTTCCTTTTCCAGAACAAAACTATTGATTACCCATTCAAGAAGTTGGTCCTTTTAGCTTTGAAACAGTGTATATTTTGAAGATACCATTTAGCCTGTAATAACACGCAGTCTAAATAAATAATTAGCGACATTATTTTTTATTATAGGATCAACGTTATGCCTGCAACTTCTGTAAGCATTCAGTTAACATCTTGTGTAATACGATTAAGTTTTAATAATCAGAATTCTAAAATATTGATTGGGGGTAAGGTGGCAGGAGAATATTTACAAACAAAACCACATACTTTATCTTTTTTTATTCTTAATGTATTTGTTCTTAAATAAGAAATTTGCATTCACAGCAAAACATAATTTAATTCTTTTATGTGCTGCCAAGAATAAGGATTATGTTGATAATTATTTCTATATACAATCATTACCCATTTTTTCTCATATCAAGCATACATTAATTTCTCTCTTTTTCTTTCTTTCTTGAGGTATGGAGAAAGAGATGGAAAGTTTGTAGTCACTCTTTCAACCAAAGGAACAGTTTTTTCTTTGCAGAGGTCATTTGTTTTGTCAAACACAATTTCAGATGTGGGTTAAGTTTTTTTGATTGATATCGTTAGCATCCATGTGTTGGTGAGACACATTTTATCCTGCCACTTTAAAATGTAGACATTGTGCTCAAAATATAATTTAACGAGAGAAATGTGGATACGACAAGATGTGTGTAAGATACTGTATCCACCATATGTTCACAAAGGACACAGTAATTCATGGCAGTTCAATTAAGTGTTCTTTTCTATGAGTTATTTTAACAGATTATTTCTTTATACAGTCAGCTCTCTGCTTCCAGTTTGGCATGTAGTTAAAGATATATGAGGGAATACTATGGATTGTAGTAATAACCATTCTTGCAGCAGTTCCATCGGCCCATACACTAGACGTGGACATTAGAGGAGGAAGTAGTTTTGAAATACATACACAACACACAAAATACCACTGCTCCAGTGATGGCAAAGGGCAGCTTCTAATGTAAAAAGGGGGAAAATAGAACTTCTCAGCAGAACTACACTAGGGAGATAGAAAAGGAGTGGAGTGCTGTAGTGGGTTTGATTTGAGAGTAGGTTAGAAAGAAGGTGGTGGCGAGTCTGAGGTTGAATAGCGGGAGAGAGCCAGAAGCATGGCTTGAAGGGGGAGGTGGGGGCCAGGAGCGGGGGCACCCGATGGGTGCTAAAGGGCAGGACATCTGTAATTCTTTCAACAATAAAGATAAATGAAAATGCAAGCAAACAATATAAAACCAAAAGAGACGAAGAAATGGGCAGTGCTCGCCCCCGTGGTGCCTCATTGTGAAGACGGAGGCCAGCGGGTTGCTAGGTCACGGTTTGCATACTTGCATCTAGACTTGTAAAAGTTAAAAACGTGTGATGTGATCATCTGAAAGGAGTGACTGCTCAATTCAGGTGTGTGGTTGAAGGGGAGTTTTCTGACAAATGAAAATCCAAACATGGGAAGGTTTTAAATTGAGTGAAAGAAGTCAACCTGAGCAGGCATACTATGATTCTATTCCTCGGTATTTTAGAAAAGACAAACTGTAAGGATGGAGAACAGATCAGTAGTTGCAAGAGGTAAGGGGTGGGTGTAATTATGAAGGGAGTTTTTTTGGAGTGATGGAATATGTTTGCATCCTGATTACAGTGGTGGCTACATGAAAAATGAGATAAAATTCATAGAACTCTACCATCCCTGCCCACAATACCTATTTTATTGCATGATAATTAAAAAAATAAAGAAATAATATTTTTAAATGAAAAAAAGTTAAAAATTGTTGAAGTAGCCCTGTCCCAGTACCTCAGTTTGTTTGAGTGTTGTCCGCTATACCAAGGTTGCAGGTTTGATCCCCAGTCAGAACACATACAAGAATTAACCAATGAATGCATCAGTAAGTGAAACAACAAATCCATGTTTCTCTTTCTCTCTTCTCTCTCCCTTCGTCTATCTAAAAATCAATACATAAAAAATCTTTAAAAAGATGATTTAAATAAAATGAATTACAATCAGAACTAGTAAATACATATATATATATATATATATGTTTATGTTTTTTTTAATCCTCACGCGAGGACATTTCTCCTTTTTGTTGTTGTTGTTCAGGTAGAGTGGGAGGGAGAGAGAGGAACAGAGAGAGAGAGAGAGAAAAACATCGACATGAAAGACACATTGAGTGGCTGCCACCCGCATGACCAACCAGGGCCAAGGACAAACTGCAACCGAGGTACGTGCCCTTATCGGGAACCGAACCTGGGTCTTTCTGGACCGCAGGCCTACGCTCTAACCGCTGAGCCAAACCGGCCAGGGCATAAATACTTGTTTTTAAAAATAGAAGCCTTTGATTTCAGTCTATAAAATAGAGCAAAAGTAGACACTTTAAAAACAAATAATTGGCCACTAGAAATTTTAATTATCATTTAAAAATATATTCTGGATTATCTTACAAATTTTAGAAGAGTAAGACTTTAAAGCAGGCTGTTTTTAATAGTTGATGTTGGGAGAAGAGATAAATTATGCAATTTAATAATATTTAAAGCAAAATATATGAAAAAATGATGCTTTTGTTCAAATTTCTGAGCAGCAGAGCAGAAATTTGACTTTGGAGAAACCAACAGGCATAAGATAAGGAGACTACAGCTCATAATTGAGCATTGACATACACACTACTTAATATTATAAAATAATATTTACCTACTGACTAAATACTGGTTTATCTTCATTATCTGGGTACATAGGCTATCATATAATACTTAGAAAAAAACAATTAGAATTTACTTTTGTGTTTTGTTTGGAAGAAATCATTTTTCTTTCTCTAAAGTCTTTAGTTAGTCGTTTCTATTGTATTTTAGTGTTGACACCCATCATCTAACACCAATTTGAACCAGGAGCAGAAACTTGTTTACATTTTCCTAGAGGGCCTTAATATTTGGGAATTGTTGTAGTAATATTGTATCATTGCTAGTCCCATACACAGAGATTATGTATGTTACATTCTGTAGCTGATTTGAGGGGGAAATGCTATCTTTGTCATTTCTGTTCTCTCACATGCTACTGTTCTCTAAGAATTTATGACTTATTATCCTTCCTGAGCATAACCCCTGCCTTCCTCCAGAGATCAGGAAAAGAGAGTTTGGGGAAAAGGGAGGGTGGGGAGGGTACAGTACCAGGCAAATGGTAGAGGTGGGGATTGCGCTTGTATAGATCAAAGCAGTTGGTGAATTTGTAGTTGCCTCCTATGGCTCTAGGCTTCTCTGATTCTGAGAACAGTACTTGCCTCTTGGTAGGAGTGTAGTAATTACTTGCTCGGTGACTTTGGAAAGTTATGGAAAATTTTGAGCCTAACATTTCAAACCTGGAAAATGGCATAAACAATTGTATTATGTCATAATAATTCAGGGAGGTCATATTTGTTAAGGGTTCGTCTATTTATTACAATGACTGCTTATCTCCTTGTTCGGTTACCAGTAAGATTGGTCCTTTTGGTATTGCTTTTGCTATTATTATTATTTCTCCAAATTGGCCCTTTTGAAAATGACCTATGTCTTCTTTTTATAGCCATTAACTACTTCCTGTTTTCCTTATGATCTCTGCTGGGTAATATTTGATAAGCTGCTGGCCCGTGAGGAGATTTGGGTGTAGGTGTTATATCATTTGGCTTTTGTTGTACGTTTGATTTTAGCTTCTAGGAGCAGAAAAACAACCATACTACAGGGTCAGTACTCAAGAGGCGTGCAGTGAATGGGCAGGGTGGCTCCGTGTGCGGACAGTCACGACAGGACTGTGGTCCTCCAGGAACCTCAGTGAGCAGGAGTTGCTCAGCAAGTGGTATCTGAGCCTGAGAATTCCAGGAGGAATCCCAGGAATCTCAAGGACCTATATTTCAGAATACAAGTTTACGGCTCTCATGAATCCATCAATTGGCTCTTTGAAGTAGTGAAACCCCTCAGAGAGGTGCTACTTAAATGATGTATTGTTGTTACTTAGCTCTACCCAAAGCCAGTGACATTCTGAAGTCATTTCAGGGTTCTTGTTCTCTCTTGCACTCCTTTGGCTCATATGTTTTGTTGAACATTTCAGATTTTCCTCTTAGGAACTGTTCCCCCCTCCCCTTGGTTGTAAATAAATCCTTATTGCCAGAGAAAACAGGTTTTGTTTATTTTTTGCTTGGTTTAGTCTGATTTGTCTTGCTGAGTTTAAGGGATATTTTTATTATAGATGACTCTTTCCAGTTCTTAACATGAATCGTAAAAATTAGCCCCCCAAAAAAGGTGTTTAAAGAAACCTTTGACATATTCCCATTTTAGCTGGTAACCTTGAGCTCCCGTCTTTCCAACAGAGTGATCACTTTAGGAAGAACTGAGAACTTCAGGGTAGATCCGAGTGAGGCATCAGCACGCTGAGTAAAATATATGGCCATGTCGCCATTCTCCCTCATCCACAATCAATTGGATTCTTTTAGTTTAATATTTACTTGCTAAGATGAGATGCTAGTCTGCATGGTGATAAACAGTCTGCTCCTGGCATCTGAAGGTGACCTGTCAGTTCATATGGACAAATCTCCTGCTTACTGAAATGTACAAAATAAATCATTAAAGCAGGCAGGTGCTCATTCCCAGATTTAAATCACCATAGATTTATGATTTGAATTAATGCTTCATTTGGCCATAGAAATAGATGCTGAGACAAATGATATGCACTGGTTGGGGTTTCCATACTGTAGCCATCCTGATATTGATTACTGAGATGTCTTTGCAATCTCTTGTTTATATCAAGTACTATCTTGTGACAGGTTGGCTGATATGAGCTACATTGCAGATAAGAAGGAAAAATGTCCTGGATTCTTTTTAGTGGCAACACTATCCACAACATACAGGCCAGATAAATTGCTATTTTTTTGCTTTAAGGACTGATC